TGTAAAGTGCGAAATTCTTCTTTTAGCTCTTGCATGAATTTCCTCACCTCCTGGAACTCGACAACTTCTTTCTCCTTCCTCTTCAGCAGTTCATTATTTCTCTTCTTTTCCATCTCTGTTAGCTTTGCCATTATGAATGTTCTGAGTTCTTTATCAGACATTTCCATGAATTCCATTGAACTGTGTGTGGATGAAAAGGAATTATCCTTTTCCCTTGGAGGAGAGGTATTTTCCTGCTTTCCCATATTTCTTGTGGTCTGGCAGCGATTTCTAGTCATCTGGTTGATGGTTGGTTTCTTCCCAAACTTGGAAGTTCAATCTGAGTGTCGAGGAGCATGCAGAAAAGGAAACAGAAAGAGAGAAACAACAGCAACAACAGCAAAAAACAAACAAGAAAGAGAAAAAGAGAAGAAAAAAAATGAAGATTAAAAACTTTTCAATAAAACTAAAAAAATTAATATTTAAAAATTTTTCAGTAAAAACCAAAATTGGAAAACCATGTGGCATGCAAGCATGCCACGTGAAATTCTAAAAAGCAAAAATTTAAAAAATGGGAGAAGACAGAGACAGAGGTAGAGACAGACAAAGACAGGTAGAGAGACAGGAGGCCTGAAAGGGGTCTTCCTACCACACAAGTTTTGTGTGCTGGAGGCCGAATTATCAGTGGGAAATCTTGATTTCTGTTTCCCCAAAATAGCTAGTTTGCAGGATCCATGAAGCTGTGTCTTCAAGAAGCCAGCCAACTGATTTTTAAAATTTTGTCATGGGGAGTGTGTGCTTGGTGGAGAGATTTCTCACAAAAGTGAGAAATCACCCCCCAGTGGGGATGGCCATGCTGCAATCCCTTCTCCTTCATTCTCCTCTCAAATTTTGGGCATGCATGAGCATATATGGCATGATTTTCAAGCCACTAGGTCCAGGACTTGAATGGTGATCAGCCATCTGGTAGTCTAGTGCCTTAACCATCATGCTGGCCAACTGATATTTTTTAAGGGCAATTACTTTATTTTTAAATTGAATTTTATTCATTGTCATTATTTAATTTTTATTTTTTGACGTTGGCCAGAGATGAATAGACAGAGAGAAGGAAAGTGAGAAAGCAAGCTGCCAGGTTACGAGACTTGAATCATGGTCAGCCATATGGGAGTCCAGCTGCCTTAACCACCACACCACTTGCTGGCCCCACCAACTGATTTTTGCCAAAGACCTCAAGAACATTCATTGGAGGAAGGACAGTCTCTTCAATAATGTGTACTGGGTAAATTAAAGAAAAAAAAGTCCTGTTTCTCTGACCATATATAAAATTCAATTCAAAATGGAATAAGTACTTACACATGAGACCCCAAGCTATAAAATTACTAGTATGTAGGATAAATGCTTCAGACATTGGTCTAGACATGGATTTATTCAGATATGACCTCAAAAACCAAGCAATAAAACAAAAATAGTCCCACCCTGGTGGTGCAATTGGTGAAGTGCTGGGGACCACATGGCTGATGGTGGTTCAGATTCTCTGCCAGTAGACCTGAAACACCCCATCGTGTGTGCATGTGCCCAGGACTCTGATGACATGGAATGTTAGGGAAAGGGAATCTCAGCATGACAAGGCCCTTTGAGGCTCTCCCTCCATCTCCTTTAACGTGCATGTTCTATAATGAATGATTTTTAAAAACCATTCAAAGGGGACCAGCAGGTGGCATGGTGGTTAAGGAGTTGGACAGTCCCACATGGCCGACTGTGGTTCAAGTCCTAAACCTGTTGGCTTGCTTTCCCACTTTCTCTCTCTCTATCTCTCTCCACTCAAATTAAAATAAACAAATGAATGAATAAATAAAATAAATAAATAAATAAATAGTTATCTTTTTTGGGGGGAGAGGTTTTTGCTATAGAGCATGTGCACTCACCTGAAAGACAGAGAGAGACAGAGATAGAAAGCGATAAATCACCCCCTCCGACGCCTCTTCCCCCCCTTCCCCCCAGGGGAAATGGCCATGCTTCAGTCCCTTCTCCTCCATTCTCCTCTCAGGATCTTGGGCACGCACTTACACGCACCCAGCTGAGCTTAAGCCACTGGAGTCCGGGGCTCGAAACGTGGTCAACAACATGGGAGTCCAGCTACATAGCCATTATGCCAACTGCTGGTCCCAAGTCAGATAAATAATTCTAAAAAAGAAAAAACCTATAAAAATAAAAGCAAAAATAGACAACAAAAGCTTCTGTACAGCAAGGGAAGCAATCAATAGAGTGAAGATACAACCTACAGAATGGGAGAAAATATTTGCAAACTGTACATACAAGGGATTGACATCCAGAATATAAAAGAAACTCCACAGTCCTTTACCAAAAACATGAATAATCTAAGTTAAAAATGGGCAATCAATGTGGAAAGTCAGGTTTCAAAGAAGACATGCTAATGGCCAACAAATATATGACTTTAAATACAGCTCAGAAATGCATATCAAAACCACAATGAGATTTAATCTCACAGCAGTTAGAATGGTTATAATAATAAAAAAAAAAAATGCCAAATGCCAATGAGATTGTGGAGAAAGGGGAACATTGTCACACTGTTGGCATAAATGTAAAATAGTACAGCCATTATAGAAAACAGTATGGCAATTCCTCAAAAAACTAAGAATATTGGATTGTCAGAAAAGTCATGATGCATTTTTGCATAGAAAAACAGAAAAAATACATCATGACTCTTCCAACATCCCAATATATATCTACCATATGATAAAGCAATATCACTAGTGAGTATTAATCTAAAAGGAAATCAATACAATCAAGAGCTATCTTCACTTTCATGTTTATTGTGTCACAATTCACAGCAACCAAGATATAGAACCTAAGTGTCCACTAACATGCAACAAATAGAGAAATTCTGGTATATCGTTACAATGGAATACTATACAGCTATTAAAAAATTGAAATCCTGTCATTTGAGGCAACATGGGCAAACTTGGAAGACATCATGTAAAATGAACTAACTCAAATACACAATGAGAAATAGCACGTTTCACTCATAAGAAACTATAAAAGACACTCATAGAAGTGATTACTAGAGCCTATGAAGGGTAGAGGAGAGAATGGGAAAGAGATATTGGTTCACAAATTCAAAATTACAGGTAGAAAAGAGGAACTAGTTCTACTATTATATAGTACAATAGGATACCTATAGTTAACAATAATAATTTATTATATATTTCAGATAAGCTAATAAAAGATTTGTAATGTTTCCAAAAGAAAGTAATCACAAAAGTCTCAAGTGATGGATATGATAAATACTCCAATTTGATCATTACACATTATATTTATGTACTAAAAAGTTACACAGTACCCCCAAAATACTAACAAAGGTACAATTAGTATGTATCAATTAATACATAAATAATGTAAAAGAAAGAGTCAATCAAAATTTTAAGTAAATTTATTGATGCTTTCTACATTTTTATTTACCAAAGCTGCAACTCTATTATGGGATACATTCTATAGGATATAGTTACACTAAAAATTGCTTATACTGGCCACCAGGCAATATGGAGGTTAAAGCATTGGAACACACATGGTCAACTGCATGGTTCAAGCCCTGGACCTGGTAGCTTGAAAATCATGCTGAGCATGTGTGCATGTGTGTTTAAAATCCTGAGAGAAAAATGGAGGAGAAGACATTGCAGCATGGCCATCTCCCTCGGGGGTAATTTCTCACTTTCGTTTTCTGTCTCTCTGTCTCTGTCTCTGTCTCTCTCTCTCTCTGATGAGCACACATGCTCTATAGAGAAAACCAGAAAAAATTATTTTAAACTAATATATTTATATTTAAAAGTTTTTATTTTATTTATTTATTTTTTAATTTTAACAGGTTTATTTATAATCGTTATAAAGTTGAACTGCTGAAACTTGTTCACCAAAACATTTTGACTTGCATTAATGCTTTACATCCCCGCATTTATATTAAAAATCCACACACAAATGAAAATGGAAAAACTGCCAATACCCGATTTCTGTCCCCTATTTTCCACTTGCAATCATATACTTAGGTACCTTTTGACCCCATGGAAAAAAAATCTAACGTTCAGAACTACCAATAACAGGAAGAAGAGAAAAAAAAAATTTTTTTTTTTTTGA